TTTTTTCAAACAGTATCAAATGTAAAAATAGAAAAATTACCTGAGAAAAAAAAGAACTTGTGAAAAGAAATCATTTATCTCACTCCACTCACCCATTAATCCATCCTTATAATAATCACAATCATCCGAAGTCATCGAGAGTCTCTGATTTCCACAATAGATTAAACTCGGAGAAGAAAAAAAAAAAGAACGTGTAAAACCCAGAAATCTCATCGAAACAAGGAAAAAAATAAATCGAAAAATTCATAGAATTTTAGTCGAGCCGTCCTTGACTGTTTTCATTGATGAATTCAAAAAAGATTCTGCCCTCGAGATTCGACGCTTAATTGGCCGAGCAAAAGTAGAAGCAGAAGCGGAGGAAAACGCCGATCTTTCAAAGAAAAAGAAAAATAAATGAAATAAATTAAAAACAATGAGGCTCTCTGTTCCCATGAAATTCTCGTTACTCAAATGAATGAAAAATTGTCGTCTCCTTCGAAAAAAAAAAAAATCGCGTCTTTGTGGGGGGAAAAAAAAAATTCATTTGAGGGTGAGAGAAGGGGGTAAAGCAACTTTTCTTATTTTATAGGTGTTTGCTGTATATATATTTAGCCGAGTAGCAGACACAAAACGATTGCCGTCGACGCCCGCTCGACTTGCACCCTTTTCTCAACCCGCTTTTAACGTGGCGCCCACTTTGCCTGAGAATTTTCCACTGCACGATAAACAAAATTATCACCATCAGTCGATCCACGCTCAATACCTATACCATCGGAAAGCTGAGAATCTGAGCTTTTCAAAACACTCCTCACACGCCCTTCTATCCCGACTAGTTCCCGAAATAAATGAAAAAACGTTTTTTTGACGGACGCCGTCACGCGGCGCGAAAAGTTTTTCCGCGATATCCTGAGAACTACTCGTCGGATCAAGACGTGCGACCACATTTTGGAGCCGGATTTTTCCCGATCTATCGATTGAAATCGGTATCAACCCCGATAATTAAAAATAAATAAATCAACCCCCACCCTCGCCGTTCCGTATCGCCCCGCGGGAAAATTCAATCCGAAAATTCGCCACATCTTTTCTCGCCGCGTCACCCGAAGCCCACAAAACCGTCATTACCGCTCCACCTTAAAAAAAATAAATACCTCAAACCGATTTTTCGCATAGCGCTGAGTACCACCTCTCATTACATATGTAAGGCCGTGATCCAGGGTTGGGCCCGGGCGGTGTCCCGACATACGTTATAGTTTATATATACACCTCAAAACTCCTTAACATACGGGCGCCGATGAAATATGCGGCCGCGACGCATTATATCGGCCAACATTATACGTTTTACTCCGCTCGTGCGTCGACTCCGGACGACACTATTAAAAAAAAAAAATAACAAACGAAAAAAAAAAAAAAACAACAACGGCCACTCACAAGCGTAAGAATTACTGAATAAGAAGGCGAGGCAATTGCCGACAAGAAGTAGTAGAAAACATACAAGGGAGAAGGAAGTGAAAAGATGTCGAAGACCTCCAGGTCTCTCTGAAGAGGCGTTATAAACGTATTCGTATAAAAGAGTTCACGTAGGCTGAAACGAGATTAAGAGACGATCCCCAACAACAGCATTTGCACGTGAAAAAAAAAAGAGTGGGGGAGGGAGGGGCGGCGGGGGGGGGAAATAAACAGTGAATAAGGTGAAACATCCAGCTTCATATACTTAACATTGTATGCAGAGTATCTGAGCGTTAAAACACCACGTTAATCGACCTCGAGGAGTTGCATTGGGTATAGAATTTTTTTGCCTCCACTTCTTATTTTCCCCTCCCACCCTCCCTTTTTTTTGTTTTGCCTGTCTCTGTTCATTACTTATATACGTGTATGTTGAGCGCACATGGAACGCCCCAGGAGAGCCGATAATATGCCCGAGACATATACACAGAATGGGAGCCGTTGTCGCGGCGCGGAAATATGCCTTCAATGTAAATGGATTGGTGTTTGCCAAGCCACGAGAAATGAGCGAAACAAACCGATACCCGGACATACAAATACCAATGTTATCGCAATCGTTGGAATGAGCCATTATTGAAGATAATTTTTTTTTGTTTTATTGGTTTGGAATTGAGTGGGTGTGCAGGGATAGGGGTTGGAAAAAAATTTTCTATTGGCGGTCCAAGGTGAGGCTTCC